CTGATCATGTCCACACTCTGCTGTGACCTCAGTGTGGACGTGGACCCGTTTGTCTTCATTGATATAAACAAATTCAATTCAACTTTATTTATACAGCACCAATCACAACAGCATTCAGCTGAAGGTGCTTCATACTGTAAACTCATCCATCATCTTCAACATTTAATTAGCTGTTTCCAAGTAATTATAACCATCAATCATCAGAGTCAGATCAGCTGATTCTGCTGTTTTAACTCTTTGGTTCCTGATTTTACTGCAGACTAAAAACCATAATAATAATAATAATAATAACAATAATAATAACAACAACAATGCATGTCATTAGTCGGTGCAGTGATGCAGTGGATCTTCTCACAGGTTCATGATCTTTAAATAAATGGAGCTCGTTGTTGTTTCCACTTCATGTGACACTAACTCTTACAGGTGAAATATGCTGTGGAGTGTTTTTATCCACATTGTTATTTAGACATGTTTCTGTGTTTATGTTGAAGATTTGTTGTTCTAAAATCTCTTCATGGCAGAGTTTGGACTGAAATGTTGATTAACACAAATCTTTGATTTTATGATTTCGTTTGTGCTGTGAAATCTTTTCAGAGTCACTGTGGGTTTTCCACGTTTGTCTCCACTCATGTTCTTATTTCAAGTTTCTTTCTCTCTGCACTCTGGTTTCATGTTGATGACAAATAACCACGTTTATGTTTTTATACACAGAAACTTTACATATTATTGAAGCGTTAAATTAAATAGTTCTGATTGTTGATTATTCAGCTGTGGTTTTGTAAAAAACAGAAACAAAGATGTTGTGCTTTCAAAACCTTTTTCTGCTGTAATTAATTAAAAACATCTTTTTTTTCTTTTCTTTCTTATTTTGTTACAATTTATCAATTTAAAATTTAAAACCTCAATTTTCTCATCATAAAATGGAACCACATACATGTTGGTTATAATTATAAGTGTGATAGCATGAAATTAGTCAGTTTATTGATATTATGAGACTAAAGCTCATAAAGTCATTGTTATACTTTTTTGGCACAAACAGGCTTCCATACTTATCTGAGAATCAAACAGTCAGTAAAGTTTTGATTCAAAGACAACTCCCGTTGAAACTTTTTATAATAACAGGAATAAATGAAGGAACTGATTTGCAGACAAAGTGAGGAAGAGGAGTGTGATGAAGAGTGTCTGACAGGCACAAATCTTTCACTTTAAAAGCATCTTAATGACATTTTATGTAAATGTGACGATCAGATCAAAGAAACAAACATGAAGCCGTTAAATGTCGTTCCTTTTGTGTCCACGATGCAGCTGCAGTAATCCTGGTTTAACACTGGCTGCAGTCTAACGTGCAGCTGTTTCTGCTGTCAGACAGTTATTTAAAAACCCTTTACTGTCACATGATTAACATCTCGAGTGTGACGTCGCATTTATTGACTTTGGACGCTGGAGTCTGAAGCTCCTTAAAGTGACACTAAAAATCCTCCAGCGCTGTGAATCTGAAGTCTGTGGAAACAGGCTGAACCACTCTCACACCTCTTTAAGCAGCTGGTGATCAATAATCAGTTACTGGTGATTGATTTGCTCCTGCTCTCTGGCTGTGACACTGAACGCCTCGCTGGGACAGCTGCTGCTCTTTTTTAGCGCTGTCAGCTGATTTCAGGCAGAGTTGTGAGTTTCTCACCTTCTCTGTGAACTTTCAGCACCTGATCAGCTGATCGCAGCCTTATCAACAATCAATACGAACACTTCACTTCATCATAAGATAAACAGGATCAGGCCTGATAAACTCAGCCCATATTTACAGATCGAGCTGAGCGACAGATAAGGCAGTGGCCAAAAATATCCACCACCCCCTCCCCAACCTCGAGCAGCTTGATTGACAGACAGCATGTGGCGCATAGCTGGGGGTGAAGTGATAGCCCTGCTGCTGATTCCCTTAAAAAGCCATCAGCCGCCCAGCTGACAGTCCACTCTCATGCTATCAGCAGCTATTCTTGGCCTTCCTGGGGTCAGTGCACAGCCCGCTGAATACGGCCAACCTGCAATCTGCACCCGAAAAACATCAAACCAACACAAAACCCAAACACAGTTCACCCAAAACCCGAGCCCTGACCCCCCTAATCGCCGTAAACCCCACGAATCAGCATCATTAGGGGACCGGCGAGTACTCACTTGTATCACAAGAGTGCCTGAAATGATGGGACGGAGCCCGGCAGAGCAACGAGCAACAGTCTCCTTATCCAGAAAGGTTTTTCCAGAAAAATCCAAGATGAGAACGGTCGAGCCTCAAAATATCCCCCGAAAAAAAACAAAACTACACAGAATAGAGGCCGTGTAGTTTTGCTTTCCCTCCTCGCAATCCCTCCACCCGAGGCGAGGTTGGGAATGCTCAAACTGCTCAGGAGGGCCCAGATGGTGCTTCAGGGTTTTATACCAGGGGGACAACCTGCATCATCAGAGCACCGACGCTCCCCATTGGCTGCTGAAACACTCACGGGGCATGATGGGACATAGCAGCCATTTATGCACCCTGCAGCCTGTGAGGCTGCCCACCCCGATCCTCTGATTCGGATCAGGCTAAGAGTGTGTGACGGCAGCTCGTTCACACACCTGAACCTCCGTGTTTTAAAGGAATCACAGAGAACAAGTTTACCTGCAGACCCAGAGTCGCTGAGAACTGCTGAGCAAAAGGAGGCAGAGGCTGTTCCTGTCAGTCAAAGCCCCCCCTCCCACCGGCCGGCTGTTACAACACCCCAACAAACCCACGCTTCATATCTCAGGAGTCAGTGGAGCTCCCGGGGCTCATCCTGTGGATCAGAACCTTTCTGCTGCTTCATGGTTTGGTAGCAGAGTTTTGTAATGCAACTGTCAGCCATCTTTGTCCTAGCTTGACCTGGAGGTCACCATAATTCTGAGTTAAGTCCACTAATGTAAGAAGTGATTTTGGTGACAGCACATTGTGTAAGTGGTGTATTGTTGCTCTTTATAGACACTTCCTTTTTGTCTGGATCAGTTTTCATGAAAATTTGGTTGTACCTAAATATTATTTAAAAAAAATTTCAACATTTTGCTTTTTGACTTATTGATCAGAAGGTAAAATCTGCCCTACTGAAGTGTACAACGACTTGTATCACACCTGAAGAGTGTCATGAGTCTCAATCTTGGTGAGTTTTTCCTGCTTTTATCAATCAGGTCATCCAGTGACAGAGGGAAGCAGTGCTGGAATCTACTGCAGGAATGTCTTAAAGACATAAAGACCTGGATGGCCGCTAACTTTCTGCTTCTTAATTCAGAT